GTGGTAATGGTGCTCAGCGGCTGACCCGCAAGACGCGCGCTTGGTCCCTGCCTCGGTGGTCAAATACCGATCAAAGCAAAACCATTGAGGCCCGTGTACTGTACGATGCCAGCGCATGACAAACAATCCAGGTGGTCGAATTTTTCGCATCCCTCCACCGCGGCGGGCCTCGGAAATCAAAACATTCAACCTCGTGATGAAAGCCATGTAACGTGTAATTTTTTAAAATATTTGAAGACTGCAAAATCTCCTAAAGGTGAGGCAATTCGCATTCAGTTGTTAAAGTGGAGTGGGGCATTAGAACACCATCTCGCTGCAGACATGAAATCAAGAACCTGTAGTACAGTTCACGTTTTACCATACCAGAAGTTTGCATATGTGTAATGTTTTTTTTTAAGCAGCAGCCGGGAAAGCAATGTTTAGTTACCCAAACCTGCATCACTTGCCATGTAGAGTGAAAATAAGTCATGAATTTAAGCCCTAGAGGTTGGTATTAACCTATTTGTAGCAATGGAGCTATCAACTCTCAGCTGGAGTGTGTCATAATCTAATGGATATGTTCGCTCCTGTATTCGTCACTTCAGTGACTTTCAATTTAATGTGTTTTTTTCTGGGCAATCACTATGATGATCACTTGGTTTGTGGTACTTGTCTTCATCTGGTATTTGTTCTTGCTGACCGGATGTAGCTCAGTCTCTCTTCTTTTTTTTGTAAATATTCACCACAGACTGGGGTTTCCTTCTGGTCTTGTTTGCGCTGGACTCATTGTATTGGCATATCCTTATCCAAAATGATGAAACGCAACAAAGTTGTTTTATCATCACCCAAATGATTTTATTTTTTTCAATCGGCTTTTGATCCATTGATCTTGCATTTGTTTACATCACCTATTAGTGATTCCTAATTGGTGTAGTGGATCACTATTCTTAATATTTGCAATTGTATGTTTTTGATCCGTTCTTCTCTTCTTTGTTTACACCACCTCTTAGAGATTGCTGATTGTTGTAGTGGAACACTGTCCTTAATATCTGTATTGGTCTTTCTGATGCATTGTTTTCGTATTTGTTTATATCAACAACTAGAGATTAGTGAACTAGATCACTGTTCTTCATATTTGTATTAGTATGTTTTTATCTAGTGTTATTGTGTTTGTTTACATCAGCTCCTAGTGATTGCTGATTGTAGTGGAGCATTGTTCTTTGTATTCGTATTTTTGTGAACACCTGTTACACCTCTAAATGATGCCTAAGCACATCTGGCAATAAAACGATCGTATGCAACTTTCTTCCATTACTTATATCCCCAATGTCTTATTTCAGAAGTGGCTATACCCTTTAATGAGGGAACTTGGTGATGCATTGAGTAAAACTTTATTAAATGGCGATGCTGGGCACAGCTGCTTACCGTTAGGCATGCAAATCAAGAAAAAGTTCCCTTGAGTTCAGGAAATCCTATTTGATATAAGTACGTTTGTGCAGTAAATATCGGACCAACCTTCATCCAATCAAGCCCTGTTTATTTCGAGCCATCAATTCTTTTTCGATGATATTCCCCTTGCCGTGGCCTTCCAGTTAGAATGAAGCAAGTTCAAGATTATCGAATAAAGTGAACACCTTGCGGGTTAGGTCACGAAGACCACGAGTCGCAAGTCATTATGTAACGAGTGATAATGTTCTGTATACCTTCACTGCACACTAGCGGACTCTTCAGGTGCTGACGCCTGCTGCAGCAAATGCGCCGTATTATTCTCGGTAAGCGACGCTAGTAAACTTTTACTTACTAGCATTGAAAGCTTCAAATAAAGCACTCACAAAACATCGTTGTTGTATCTATCTATCTATCTATCTATCTATCTATCTATCTATCTATCTATCTATCTATCTCATGACACGTGTGGTAGTGACATATGGCACATACCCACATACAACAGGCCGTGGTATTCGGGTATACACCACGGGTCATTCAAAGTCTATATCAATGTCACAGTCTGATTGATATGTCGGGTTTAACGTCCCAAAACCACTATATGATTATGAGAGACGCCGTAGTGAAGGGCTCCGGAAATTTAGACCACCTGGGGTTCTTTAACGTGCACCCAAATCTGAGCACACGGGCCTACAACATTTCCGCCTCCATCGGAAATGCAGCCGCCGCAGCCGGGATTCGAACCCGCGCCCTGCGGGTCAGCAGCCGAGTACCTTAGCCACTAGACCACCGCGGCGGGGCAATGTCACAGTCTATATCATTCACAAGTCTATGTCTGAACCACGCCTGTCTGTGCACACAACACTTGTAAATATCTTCAGCGTCATTTCGTGAAGGTTGGTTCAATTACTAAACTACACAACAGTCGCCTTCGCTGTGGACATCGATTCCCATGGTACGTGGGATCTCCCAAATCTTTCCTCTTTCTGGCGTGTTTGTCAAATGAATTTCAGGCACTTCAGTAAAAGTGAGAATGCTCTGTATCAACACTCGAGGTCAACGGGCAAGCGTGATGAATGTATTCTTCCACTTTACGCTGAAAGGGATTAACATATTTGCTTTATTATAGTAAAAATTGCTCACTTTTTCCATGTAGACAAGCAGCTCGTAAGGGCTGCATCAAGACTGGTCTTATTGAGACACCCGCCAGAATACGATCACAGAGGTCACATAATACATTGTCTAGGTGCTTTGGATGCCTAGGGGTTGCTCTTACATGCTGTCTCAGAGCACATTCGAACTAGCGCATGGGAAAAAACATGACCTAGAAAAGAAGAAGTAATGCCAAAGACTGTTGGACGCAGTAACCTAACTCCTGGGAAGTTCATACCCTCTTTGAAGCACATTGTTTCTAGCTTTCACTGTCTGCGAAACACCTTTCTCAAGGTGACATAAACGCGCCTAGCAACACTTTTCCAAGTAATCATCGAATGACCTCGATATGGCGTTTACAGCTTCGCGAAAGGAACAGAGGCAAAAATTTTAGAAAATCTGTAGGACGTTTGAGCTCTGCCTACAAGAGCAGATCGCAACAGCGTAATGAGGCCTCGTGAGCTTCGTCTTCAAATCTGCTTGCTTGCTTCAATACTCAGAATCACTGAAGAAATCGATTGTGGGCTTAGTGCTCACTTGAACTCAGGGTCACCAAATTTTCCTCAACCGGGCTCGTGACACTCAGGTTCGCAATTTTTTTTTTCAGACGAACTCACTCGGACTCAAGCTGCATACCTCAACCATGCCGAAAATAGTCAATGGATGTGCGCGTAGCACTGGCCAGTGCAAAGTATAACTGAGTGCGTACGGCAAGCGGCCTTGTTAAGTGTTCTCTGCGCCATTATTAGTCCTTCTGCGAATCAGCCAAAGGCTTACTACGTGTGCGTAGAGCAATACGCGAAGCTACGCAGCTGTTAACTTGGTTGATTGTAATGCTACCGATGACGATCAAATATATCTGAGTGCTTTGTAATGGGTTGACTTTCAAACATCTACACGTTGATCAATTTTCACGTTTTGACGCCTGGCACGATCGTACTTTTTTAGCACCAAGTGTACGTTGCGTTGGCTTCTTCTCCTTCTGACATTGATAACGTGTTTTTTTTTTGCAAAGTAGTTCTTTCAGATATCGCAGCTCTTCGATAGAACACTTACTTGCCACAAAAACAGCTTGGGTTTATCCTCACTCGGAACCGAAAACTGTCATTATTTATTTTGTTTGCGTAACTCTCCATATTTCGGGCACAGATAGGATCATTGTTCGCCAAGAACAACCGTCACCATTTGGGACTGGTGACAAAAGAGTAACTCAAGGTGACTACAGTGCACACACGCTTGCGTTTTGCATTCAGGTCGCACGAAGGACGCAAGCAGGTTCACACCTCATGGTCTGGATCGCGACAAAATGTATGTCCTCTTGCTTTGTTCACGTCTGTGTGTTGCTGTAAATCTTCCTGAAGACGTCCAGTGAACTAGCTGAGGGCAAGCATCCTTCTTAACACGCTTACCTGCCCCGCCGCGGTGTTCTAGTGGTTAAGGTACTCGGCTGCTGACCCGCAGGTCGCAAGATCGAATCCCGGCTGCGGCGGCTGCATTTCCGATGGACGTGAAAATGTTGTAGGCCCGTGTGCTCAGATTTGGGTGCACGTTAAAGAACCCCTGGTGGTCGAAATTTCCGGAGCCCTCCACTACGGCGTCTCTCACAATCATAGGGTGGTTTTGGGACGTTAAACCCCACAAATCAATCAATTAACACACTTATCTGCAGACTCACTAAATTCATACCTGCTCGCGTTATCTTAGGCCCGTAAAAGAAGCTGGCATCCTCTTTCTGTCACTTTTATTGATAAGTGGTTTACGATTGTAGCCTCGGGAATAAAAAAATCGAGTAGCATTTGGTAAGCCTAAACTGTCGCTTAGCTGCTAACTTGGTCGTCATCAGGAAGAGTGAAAGAAACAGAATGACAAAGAAACGAAAAACGCAGTACGGGCGGTTTTTAGCAACTAGTTTCATTAACTGCAGACTCAGACGTCTTATCCAAACTGAACTGCAGAAGGTGCTTGAACCCATCCGCGCACATCGTGAAACACGGAAAATGGCTAAACAGTCACACAAAAGAAGGTACAAAAGTTATCTGCTGTGAAATGAAAAAAAAAAGTGTTTCGCTGATATCCCTAGATGTCTGTTTCTCCGTTCAAAGAGATTATCAGTGTTTTCAACGAAAGGGGTCCACTCACATTCATGGCAGTGAAGGGCGAGATGTGTGCTAGGACGTACAATCAGATTGGTTATGTGTTCTCTCAATATTGTGGTCACACACCTGTCAGTCCATACACGCACCCATGCCATGCTTATTCCATGCACACTCCTACTGCTGCAAGTGCTTTCAACGAGGCCAAATAGCTGTGCTGCTATATCTTGGTCGTGCTACCGGTGCTAGTTGTGCATGCGAACAAGCGATAAGTCCGCATATCAGTGAGCGTGATAGCTTGGAATATTTTTTGCCTTCCCTGGACGTGCGGCTCGTTTGCAGTGGCCTCACAAGTGCGTTTGCTAAGCGTGGATTGGGCACCGCGACGGCCGTTGCCATACGCAGCTCGCGATGCTAAGAATGTCGTTGTCCATACGCTTTCGGGTACGTATCACAGTTGCTTTTGGGGTATGCTGTGTAATTTGTCGAAAGAAGAGCGCTTGTCCTTTCTTCCTTTCTGTTGATTCGTGCGCTTTAACTGATAGTTATACTATGCATATCCAACTAGCCCAATTTTCGATTCTGTTGCGAAAGAAGAGAGAGTGGTTTTTAGCTGAACTTGAAATTCAAATTTTAAGTTTGATGTTGCATGTCACGCTGAGATGTTTGGCTGACATTTTAGCAGGGCCTTTTAATACCAGTCGGCGTCATGCTGTGACCACGTTCTAATGGTTATGCAGAGCCCCCTTGTCCGAGCTGTGCTTGAAAACGGTTCCATCGGCACTGCGTTCTGGAGGAGGAAGAATGACTATTCACACAGCGGACGTGGCCCTCAGGGTGGCTCCACGTGTACTGTCAACCCTTTCGGCCAAGCCAGCAATTGCTAGCTGCTTTCTCTTAATGGGAGTTTTAATAAGCTTTTCTCACACTGACTGTGAGTGCGCTGGCAGGAGCCTTTTGATGGAAGAAATTCTTCAAAGAGCTATATGATTTTGTGTGGCCAATTTTTATGCATTACGATTCTGGGAGATTGGGTTAACTGAACCGCATGTAATCAACGAAAGTCGATGAGCACTAGGGAAAGAGAATTTTGAATGCGGTGGAGGATCATGGCCTGCGTGCTTGTGAGGATTTCTTCAGGTGAGGGGTAGACGCGCCCTTCGTTTTTGTACAAATTTGATTGATATGTGGGGTTTAACGTCCCAAAACCACTATATGATTATGAGAGACGCCGTAGTGGAGGGCTCCGGAAATTTAGACCGCCTGGGGTTCTTTAACGTGCACCCAAATCTGAGTACACGGGCCTACAATATTTCCGCCTCCATCGGAAATGCAGCCGCCGCAGCCGGGATTCGAACCCGCGCCCTGCGGGTCAGCAGCCGAGTACCTTAGCCACTAGACCACCGCGGCGGGGGGTTTTTGTACAAATTTGTCAAGTGATTAAAGAAGGTCGGTGCCTAACCACGGAATACCGGGTCTTTTCCGGTTTGTTAGTCTTAGGCTACGTGGTGTGCATATTCGTACCCAGGGTTCCCCGAGTGGACAAGAACCCATACAAATTCAATAAATTTGTAACGTTGACATCACAGTCCTCACCGCTAGCTCGTTGATGCTCTTTTTCAAATAATTAATGATGGATCTCATCGATTTACTCACAATAATTTGATAGGAGGTGCTCGTCATGGCGAAAGCAATAAATACAAGTACTTTCAGCTTCTATGGCGGAGGGCACCTGTATCGAAGTGCTATGGGTGCTTTGTGCCACTCTGGTCACCATCCTCCCGGTATACATTGGACAATTTTTTTCGGTCATGGCCCCCGTAAGTGACTAACTTGTCATTTTTATGCTTTGCATGAAGATCTCTTGTTCTGGCAGACCGTTTTCCTTCCTCGTTGTAACATTGACAAGCGACAACAACGCAAGCTCATTCGAAACAAGGTCACTAAACCACTCCGCGTGGTAGACTTCTTTCGTATAATCTTCTGAATATTTCGTCGCAGCGGCTTCACCGGGAACACCTCTGTGAACCCCCCGCTAACAAATGGTGGGACCCCGGCATGTGAGTTCCACAGTGACGGCGCGAGTCAGTTGTTTAAGCAGAATTTCCTGACAATGCTTGCTCACCTGACTTCTGAAAAGCAAATTGAGTGAATGGTTAATTGGTGCAGGACGTCGTTAGAAGGAATATGTTGTCTCACAGAACGCACATCCAAACTGATGTGCCGAGGTCTTTTGATGATTGTGGCTTGAACTTCGCAATAATGTCACGTAGAATTATTGTGCATGACGAAAAAATAGTATCGAATATATATTTTGTCTTTCAGGTTCATTAATGTGTATATGGAACCACACGTCTAAGCAGTGATTTAAGACTAACAGATATATAATATTTTAAAACAAAACAACTTAGCAAAAGTGATTTTAAAAAGCGTATTTCTTTATGCAATGAGAATGACGTAAGGAAATAATCGAATTGAGAAAAGCCTAGGCTTATTGCATATGTTTAAAATCCAAATACGACAAAGATGGGAAGACATAACACGCACTCTTGGCATTTATTAGGCCGTTCCTACTCTATTCGTCCTTTCGAAAACGCGGGGACTGCCCGTCTCGGGTACACGTGAGTGGCTACCACTAATAAGTGCTCCGTAGCATAACATTTCGAATTAGCCCCGAGATGACTCATCATATTATTGTTGCGTTCAAACCGATTGAATCCACTCCTGATAAGAGTTGAGCCATGCGTGCTGGACACGCTAGTGCTCTTGTGCCTTGGCCACGACCAGCAGCCTCCATTCTTTCTTTTCAAACGTGAAGTCGAAGATCATTGCTTGGAGGAGAGGATCCGCTTGGATTCGTTATCACGTATCTCGCGCGCGACGATTTTAGAGAAAGAGTCTCGCTCACGCTTTCTGTTGTCGTTGGCGTGAGAGACAGAAAGAGAATGGTACCCGCGATGAAACTGGATACTCTTAGCGTCTTCTTATTCCCAATTGCTGGGCGGAGGAAGTTTCTGGGTGCAAAGAAAAGAAACAGAGGTATCAATTACACTTTGCGGAGAGAGCGTGCAGCGAAGCGAAACGGCACATTGTCAGTCAAACTGCAATCGCCGGCACTCTGCAAAGTGCTGCAAGGAACGGGGACAGCGTGCGCCGGAAGCATTGGAGAGTGCGAACGAAAACTTGGACTCCGGTAAGCGTCCCGTACACTGCACATTTCTGTTGTCATGCGCTGTCTGATTGTGCATGCTTTAATGAAAGCTTTGCTGTACGGAATGATAATATCATAGTAAAATAATCAATTAGCACAGATAGATGAGATATAAGGCGAGTAGGTATCGCCAGAGGATTCACTAGCCGTTGCTTTTAATGACACGCGAGTACTGACATGCTTTGGAGCGTTTTTCAGGGTGTAGTAAAATTTTTTCATTACATCTCGTGAGGAATTGGCTATTTCAGCTTGGACTGTCACCATGTCTATTGTGTGAGACTCAAACAATGGTATTTGCGCTACATATATGCGAAGAAAAGCAAAAATATGCTTGAAGTTACAATACAAAAAAAGTACTCCTAGTTTGGTGACTCGAGTGAGTGAAGGCGCACAAAAACGGTAGTGAGACCTTGCAAATAACATCTTTTAAAATTTATCCGATGGTTCAGCTGCCGACTAATTTCATTGCCAAGTACGGTGGCATTTCGGGAGGTTTGTTAGCAATACGGTTCACCTGAAAGAGGTTGGTGGTCCGCGAATTTAAAAAGAGGTGTTAGAGCGCTGGCTAATGTTACACACCATGCAAACACGTTTACCGATAGTCTGTGCAACTTAGCAACTTGTTACTGTTTTAGAACCTTCCGGGCATGCGCGGTACACGCGCTGTGGTGCGTTTTATTGTACTATTTTGCCTTTTTTCTTTGTTTTTTATTTATTCTTTTTTTCTCATTTTCTCTTTCTTTCGCGTAGGTTAGCGAACCTATTGCTACTTGGTTAACCTACCTGCTTTTTCTTTGCTTTTCTCTCTTTCTCTCCCGGCGGCAACAGCCCTAGCAAGGCTTCCTTGTTGGTGCTGTGGCAAGTTTTAGTTTGAAAACAAGCTTATGCCCGACATAATCACCGTCCGGCATGGGCATATCATAACGGGCTGGACGGTAGTCTCGTCTGTTTACGAGGCAGTGCGTCTGGAGTCTGGTATTAGCGAGTTCCTGGCGTATGATGGTCTGTAATAAAGAAATCGTGTGGGAATCACCGCGGCCACAACTTTGCATGGGGACTGGAGTTCCAGCTTTAATTTAGCGGCGGACGAGGCGTACAATGTTTTCGCCTGCAGCAGGAGCAGGTGGTGGATGGATATCCTCGCAAGTAGACGTCACCGCTGTGTTGCGAAGGTGTGAAAAATGAGGAACAATGTGACGGCTTTTGGCTTCTTCATAGCACCTACATTCGCCATTGAAGTCGTCGATTGTCGACAAATTCCTGAATACGAGGAGAGTGAAACCATCGCCTGCGAACACTTTCAAGATGTGTGCGACCTTTTCAGGTTCTGGCATCTTGTCGTCAACCTTGCTGCTGAGCGCGAGCGCACCTTGAATATATGTGAAGCAAAATTCGGTTCAGGTCTGGATTCGCCATGCGAGCTCATATTGTGCAGCTCGACATTGTCTGATGGGCTTGTCGAATTGATCAATGAGTTTGTGCTTGCAAATCTCCCAGATCACTATCTCTTGCTCGTGGTTGCGAAACCAAACCTTGGCCGTTCCCTCGAGGTGAACTTGTTGGCCAGAATGAGCGTCAGGTCGCAGTTGTACAGTGCGCTCACCCGTTAATTGAGCTGAAGCCGATCCTCGACATTTTTGTTGTCAGTGCCGGAAAAGATGCCCGAATCGCGTGGTTCTGTCAGGACAATGGGGCGATTAGCGGCGGTGCTGCAGCCCGACAAGCTTGGTTGTCGGAGGCACCGTTGGGGACGTGTTCGATGCATCCCCGTATTCCTCTTGACCAGACATTGGACAGGCAGCCAAGAAGTGTCCGCTACGGAAAATCGTCGTGAGGCTGAAAGCTGGGAGAACCCTCACTCTTTACGAAAATGTTACAGGTAGAAAAGGCGTCACAGAGTATTTTTATGTCTTTATGGACAACTAACGCCAGACAAACAAGGCACCTACTCAGTACCATGTTTTCTAGGCGTCGGGCGCCTCCACAATGGTTAAATATTGAAAAAAAGTTGCCTGCAGCCAACCCAGAGAGTTCGTGGGGTTGTCTGTAGGTAAGCTTTCTGTCACTGCAAACTGCAGTATTCAATGATTCGACTCCTTCCAGGTCAGAAACCGCAATCATGCTGCCTGGACTTACACTTTGTGGTGCTTAGACACTCTTAGTGCATTCTTTAGATGCGAACTATCTTAAGGTCGAGCTGAATCCGGTGTGAAGGGTGATCACCCTTACCACGCATGCGCGTCCCCTCCCCTCTCTTTTCTCTCCTACGCCCCCCCCCCCCCGCTCTGTCTTCTAGGCACCTCTTCCTTTGGCTTTTACACCCCCATGAGGAATACGCGCCCCCACCCACCCTCTACTCCTCTGCTGTGCTCCTTCTCTCTCGTCTCGCAACGCCGACGCAGGCAACACCTGCTAGTCTACGCTCGCTTCACCCCATCTCTCTACTAGGCTTCCCTAACTGCGGCGTTCAGAACCCTTTTGCGCCTTCGTGCCCCCTTCTGCTCCTGTTTTACGCTCACCTTCCCTCTCCTCACAACGCTAACGCAGGCAGAGTCTGCTAGTCTACGCCATGGTGTAAAAATAACCAGGTGTTGACACTGAGCGTGCTTGAGCGACCAGATAATGTTTGGTCTCGTGGGCGCACTTTGCTGCAAGCCGTCAGACGGCGCCACGGCCAATGTGCCCAGAGTGGTGCTTGCGCTTATAAATTCCTCTGCCTCCACAAATCTTTGTTCCAAGCGGTGTAAGTAACACTTAAATGGGCACTATAACGT